TATCACTAATTTGTCACCTTTTCTAGAACTAGATTCGAGTTCCCCGTTCCAAGACCCCCATGCTCCCAATATCTCACCTAACCTACCTGTCCCTACGTTGAGTAATCTGCAAGATATCGAGAGGCAGATACGAGGCGTCATACGAGCTGGCCCTATTCGAGAGCGAGTGGCGGAAAACGTACTTTCTTCGGTAAGACTTCTCGCGGCCTTCTATATATAGAATATACCCCGCTAAGTTTCGGTATGACATTTCAGGACTTGATACGAAAGTTGATTGCCTTGATGAGCGATGCGGAGGATCTGCAAAGTATAGAGGATCTGCAGGCGATTTGCACTCTCATGCAGGCTATACGTGAGTCCTTCCTGCTCATCTGACGAGCAAATACTCATGCATTCATTCTACAGTGCTTCTGAACAATCAGGCAATCTACGAGTATATTCTAAGGGACGATATCTTTATTGATATGGTCGGCCTCATGGAATGTAAGCTGGGCGTGCTAAATTACGTGAAACCGCCTAACCCTTGCATAGATGATCCGGAATTCCCTCGTCTCAAGGCTCACTATCGCGAGTTTCTACGAGAAAACACCAAGCACCATCAAGTTGTAGAGATCCGTGATACATCTATACGAATGAAAGTTCACCAAACATATCGACTGCAGTACCTCAAAGACGTGGTTCTCGCCCGGGTGTTGGACGATCCCATCTTCAACGTGTTGAACAGTCTGATCATCTTCAATCAGATTGACATTGTCAACTACATTCAGAATGAAGAATACTTTCTCAAAGAAGTATTCTCCATCTTTTTACGGCCGTCTGAAGGTGCCGATAGTCAACGGCTACGGATAGAAGGCACTCCTGCAGATGGAGACCAGCAAGTGGAGGAACAGGCTACCCAAGACGTTTCTGTGACAGAAGGAAACGAAATGGTTGGTCAAAATCTTACCTCTGGGTCGTTGGAAGACAGGCGACCGGCTGCACTCTTGCTCCTTCATCAGTTTTGCAGCATGGGCAAGAGCGTCCAGCTACCTATGCGCCTAAACCTGTTCCGTGCGCTCGTAGATCGTGGTATCCTATACCCAGTTCAATGGGCCCTAGGACAGGGGGATATCAAGGTCCTCAACACCGCAGGCGAGATACTGGCCATGGTGCTCGATCACGATGCGGGCGGTGTCCGGGGGCATATTCTTCGTCAAGTAGAGGATCATACAAAGCAGGATACGACGATGAATGGAACTACAGGGACGAGTGTGGCTGGTGAACAGGCAGATTCGACACCGCACACACTGTTGGCCATGATGTCCTCGCTTCTGACGAGCAGTCGACATGAAATGTCTTTGAAGAGTCAGCTAGCAGAATCATTCAGGACATTGATGGACGTCCCCGGTATTGACAATGCTGTATGTGCTCTTCTCTCGATGGTCAAAAGAAATGATGTACTGATACGATTCCTCTAGCTCCCTGGATTGAAGATGTTGCAACCTCCCAACCTTCGAAAGGAAGATCAACAGTCAGATCGCTTCCTCGACTACTTTTATAAAGTTTGTGCAGCAGACTTGTATAAACCAATCTTAGAGAATGTGCCGGAGCACAAGCACATGACTTGTAAGTCTGGGCTGTTTTTTAAATGCTCAAATGCTAATCCATCTTTAGCGACTACACTGGAGCTCACGAGGGCCCAGTCCGACCTGTATCTATATTTGTGTGACTTGCTTTGTGGATTCATGTTACAGCACTCGTATCAAAGTCATTTCTTTGTTCTGGGTAAAAACGTCGCTGCACGGATTGCTAGCCTACTATACGCGAGGGAGAAACATTTAAGACTAGGTACGCGAAGCTTTCTACTTTCTATCAGAAGTGCTGACGTATTGTAGCGGCATTACGTTTCTTCCGAACGTGTCTACGGCTAAACAACCGAAATGTGTACGCTCACATGATCAAGCATGACGTATTCCTACCCATTCTCGAATTGACAAGACGAGAGTCCATCCGAGATAATCTTCTCAGCTCGTGTTGTCAAGAGTTCTTTGAGCACATTCGAAGGGTGCGTCTCGAGATCGTTTCATCTTGTTTCTATGCTTACTGACATGCATATCGATTAGGAAAACATCAAAGACGTCATTGACCATGCCATGAAAGTACATGGCTCACGAGTCCGGCAGCTAGCAGATTCGCATGTCGTTGGTCAAAGATTCTTGGGTTTGATCAACAGATGGGATGCCAACAACGAACCACCGCCCAAACCAGAGCCAAAGTACGTGCTTATTTAGCCAATCAGCTACCTGTTTATTGACATGTACATAGACCCACAGCGATTGCACCCAAACGGTGGGGTGCTGCGCGAGCCGTCGACGCAGAGGAAGACTACTTTAATGCAGAAGAAGAAGAGACACCTGCGACAGAACCCACTGTTGGACGCCAGACTAGAGGTCAGATGCGTAGACGTGGTGCTATTGCCGGTCCCAGTACAGGTACTGGACCCACTGGGCCTAATAATGCTCCGCCAAGTGGCAGGAGACAGCGTCCGACCAGTGTTGCCCTACCGAAAGCGTATCCTATAGGTTCAAGTACCTCGCTAGTAGACTACCCAGAGGAAGACGAGACCGAAGCTCTACCACCTTCTGAGGCTGGTTCTGATCCTGTTCAACCAACTGGTAAACAAGAAACCAAGGGGCCCGTACAGGATGGAACACGATTACGAGGGAGAAATAGACGCCCCGAATTGACAAGAAATGCCTCTGTACCAAACCTGGATCCGAACGGCGTTGGGTCACAGGCAACACCCAAAGAACAGACTGGAAGACGGACACAGTCCCCAGCATTGACCCCGACCTCGCCTTCTCCATCGGCATCCTCATCCACATCTTCAGAAATGAATACCACCCAACCCGGTATAGGAGTTGGCATAACTGGCATAGGACTCGGTGTAGGCGCTGGTATGGCCATGGATGAAGACGAAGATCTAATTGGCCCGCCTGTTCCCCTAAGCCTGAGCCACAAGAGACGAAGAGAAACAGAAGAAGAGGATGAGACGATGGAACGATTGGCAAAGAGGCCCTTCCTTGGGGAGCAACCAGCCCCTACTGCTGGTGCCAATGCTAGCAAAGCTGCAATGCAAGAGGACAGCGCAGGTGCCGCTGCTCCCACAGTTGCAGCTCCCACATCAACTCCGACAGAGACGCCCAAGCCAATTGGAAAGCGACAACTCAGAGTAAAGTTGGGCGCCAACGTACAGAACCAACCACCTGACGTCAAAGTTGGCGACAAGGGCTAATCCTTTCCCTGTATACACTCTTTTAATTTTTTCCCTCTCTCGGTGGACTTCCGAAGGGGAAAAAGATACAACATCGAGAATTCTTTGCTCTATAGACGTTAACGGGAAAAATTGTTTAGTACTTATTGTCTTTTTTGTATTTGTTGTTTTTTTCCCCTCCTTTTCTTGTTCTTTCCTATCAAAATGTGGTGATCGAGTTTGAGCCTGAG